AGTGGAAAATGGGGATTTAGAATTTGTGTGGGGTGTACACTATATATACACTGGGCGTAACTCATTAAAGATGACGGGGACTTCAATGAGTATGATGGGCGTACATAAGGATTACGCAGGGCGTACTCATGCTAATTCCAAAACTGTAACATTTAGGGTTGAGACCCTATTTAAACACCTTAAGTCCATTGAGGCCTCTTAATGTTCAGCCTCCACTCTCCCCCAAATCAGTCATTTCGAAACCCTAGCTAGTTTGTGAAGAGCTTGAGCATTTTAAGTGAGTTATTATATGTTTTGTGAAGAAGGAATCCATTAAAGAATCATTGGTGAGCTTGGAGCTTGAAGATCCAAAACATTCATCCCATTTGCAAGCCTCAGAAGGTATAAAACTTAAACCTTTATGATTCCTTGGTTTAGATCTAGACTAGCTTAGAGTTTTTCATGCTTTTGGTACCATAGTTTTGGTTATTTTGAGTAAAAGCTACTCCATAGCTTGTGATTTTCATATCATGTCATTTATGAGGATTCTAAGTCATAAAAATGGGATCTTGATGGTTGTTTTTCGCCCATGCAAGTGTTTGGAGTAATTAGAGGATGTTAATGATGTAGGGTTTGGTTTTGGACTCCATTAAGACATGCAAAGTCATAAAGTCAGGAACTTTATGACTTAAGACGTCAATAAGAGTTAGATATGAGTGTTGAGTGTTTGGTCTCAATTTATTAAGAGCTTAATAAAACAGTTGGTAAGATGCTTGAGTACGCAGGGCGTAACTCCTGAGTACGCAGCGTGTAGCGAGATCTTGCCTGTTTCTCTTTCTGTTGAAACTTGTTACGTAGGGTGTAAGGAAGGAGTACGCATGACGTACTATTAGAAGTGTAGTTTGGCCATTTTTGGGCCTTGGGCCATGTTTGGTTGGCTCTATCTTGGAAAGTGTAGAATGGTCTTTTACCTTACTGAGAGAGAATATGAAATGGACCTTTGATTATGGGTTATTACACAATTATTAATCAGGGTTTGTTTTGGATATGTTCAGTGTGAGGACCCTTTGTAGCATCAACGCGTGTGTAATTCAGTTATCTTCAGATTGAGGTAAGTCTCCTCATAGTATTAGCGGGTCGAAGGCATCAATGTCGGCCCATTAAATTATGTTCATAGTATGCTAGTTCTCTCTGTGACTCTTGCATGTATTTGTATGTATGTTTGGGCTGGGCCTATTACATGTTATTAACATATCTATACCGGGCGGGGCTCGATGAATGCCACGCGGGGCCCGATATATGTATGGTATGTGGTAATTTAGGCAACTCACTAATCATTGTACTTACAGTATATCTTTATGGTTTTAGGTACTTCTGTTTTGAAAAGGAACGACCCGGCTTGATCGCAATGCATCCCCTAGAGATGTATTTCATGCTGAATGTTTACAAATTACTCTGATGTTTTGTAGAATACTTTGACTTTGATTGTCTTTTGGAATAATGAATGAATGTCTTTAACTTATTCAAAATGAAATTTTTACTTAGTATTTTTGGGACGTTACAGATAATCTAGAATCCATATATCTTGTAGAGCACCATAATAAAAGGTGTTGTCATAGGATACTTCTTCTTTTCTAGATATGAGTGTGTCAGTCAACTCTATGCAAACCCCACTATTTTAGTTAACTATACCTTCACGGGATTATGTATGAAATAGGTTGATATACAACATATTTCATTACGACCTGTTGTATGCCATGAGAAACCCACCTTAAGTCCTCTGGAATACCATGTATGTAGATTACTATCTCTTGCTCTACCTAAATATCATTAAAATGATAAGCATCAGGGGGCAGATTGATCAGTTGCTTTTTTGTTCAAGCAATTAATGAATGACGGGGGAAAAATGTGTAAATTTCTCAAAAAGAAAAATTAACTTGGATCATTATTTTACCTCCTATTTTAACCAATGACCGAAAGCTTCAATGTGCTCTTTGTCCAGCAATGCTAGTCTTTTCATGGGATGTTAATTTTTTAGATGTATCTTGTCTCACCTATGTGTACATTGATGAACAGTAAAGTTAGAATATGTTTCTTTTTTATCTAATATGAACATAATGAGTAAATGGGTTCAGCCAAAAGTCTTGGCTTAATGAATTAAGACCCCAACATACTTTATGCATGTATATATACATCATTCTGTTAATGTATTATATATAGCTATCCATATATTATATATATGTGCTGTTTGTATTATACAGTTTTCCAGTCTAAGTGTTTAATTAATGAATATACTTTTACATGTATCCATATTAAGTGAAAAATTTAATATTGTATTAACGAGTTAATCTCTTAATCTGGATTGTATAAATAAATGGACAAGTAGTCATATAAATAATGAATATACAATTAGGAATATACTTACTCGATATACGGATACACTTTAGGTGTATTTTTCAGTACAAAGAAATGTATTGTACTGAAGAGTTATGGACAAAGTTCATATTGATATGCAGCTGATAGTGCTACTTCGTCATTATCAATCATGTTATGCTGATCCTGTGGAATACCAACAGTATGTATGTTCTTGTGGTATTCACTTAGGAACTCAATTTTCTCCTTTGCAACATTCTCTACAGCAATGTATCCTTCCGGTTAGTTTTTGTTCCGGACATGACCTTTTATTAGCTTCATGTATCTTTCAAATGGATACATCCATCGGAAGATACACTTAGGAACTCAATTTTCTCCTTTGCAACATTCTCTACAGCAATGTATCCTTCCGGTTAGTTTTTGTTCCGGACATGACCTTTTATTAGCTTCATGTATCTTTCAAATGGATACATCCATCGGAAGAATATTGGACCACATATTCTTACTTCCCTAGTAAGGTGAACGACTGAGTGAACCATAATATCAAAAAAACAAAAATGGAGGAAAGTGTTTCTCTAGCAAGCACAATGTGACACGCATATCTGCTTCCAAGTCATCGAGCTCTGCCACTATTATTTATTTGCGAGAAATATAAATATAATTGAAAAAAAACATAATCATACAATAGCAGCTCTTGTGGATTTCTACAATATCGATCGTATAACTATGTCTCAGTATTCGTTCATATTTATACGTGTTTTTATAACTGATTCCCAGATTTATCAATGATCCCAATGAATACTTCAAGTTCTAGCTGAGAAGGAATAACCAAGTAAGATAATATCGAAGGTAGGATCCATTTGGTATACATAGTATACTGTTTGGAAAATCCATGTTAAACACCTCACTAGATCTAGCCTAGACATCACTCTCGTAAGTAGATCTATCAGTATTATAATTTGGAATGACTAATACATCTTATTTATAAATTCATAATAACGATTATGCATATAAATATAAGTTACACTTAAAGCATAGCAAGTGAAACTTAACTTACAGAGTTTTCTGACAAAAGTACGAAAGTTCGCAAGGCAGAACTTCGACTCCGAGAAGTTCTTTTCATTTGGCTCTCTGATGCTTCATAGCCTTGCTAAAGTAGCTAGAAACTTAGGGAACTCGGGCTCAGAATAGGGGAGGTTCTTCGAGAGAATGGAGGAATCAGAGCCAATTGGTGTGAGGAATGATCAAGGTTCAGTTGCCATTTATCGGCTGTCCAGGAGGCTGCCACGTTGTGGTACATTGCTTCTAACATCGTGATCAAGCGTAGACAGCAAGCAACGATTATGGTGCTGATACGTGGCACTGGACGCGGGTAAAACCTCATATCTTCAAAAATACATATATCCCGCATACATGATCTGTTTTCGACGTTCTTTATATCACCGTGTTCGTATCGACAATTACTATAACTTTTCTTTTGGTCTTAGTAGGTATTTTTCATTTTATTTTTACTTTTTATTCAAAAGATGTGGGAAAATGTAAAATGCTCGAATTCTTCTACCTTAAGCTCCTAGTTTCAGCTGCAGTCCTCCAAGTATCCAGCTTTGGTCAATTTCAACTCCTTTTCCTCGAAAGTGTCATTTTTTGCTGCAAAATACAATTTAACTTAATAAGTACCAAATGTCTTTGCATTTCATAAAAAATATAGCTTAAATGTATTAAAATAATGCCTAAATAAGTGTATAAATATGACAATATCACAACCCTATCTTGATGATATACATTACTTTTTATGAACAAAACACCTGCTGGAATGGAATGGAACCAGAACCATATCGATTAGGAACCAAATAAGTAATTTGGTAAATCCTTAGTTCTTTCGTAACCATAAAATCTGTTTTCGGTTTAGTTAGGCCAGACTAAAAACTAGGGGGGACAAAATACTTGTTGGAACCGAACCGTAACCAATTTGGAAGCGAATATGTAATTCAGTTTGATTCCCGGTTCCTCCATATCCATACATTCGTGTATCGTTCCTGTTCTAGAACCCAACCGAACTGGAACCGAAACTGATTGAGAACCGAATATGTAATTTGGTTTTATAAATTCGGTTCTTGGTTTCCCGGTTCCTGTTTGTCCAGTCCTTTTCCGAAACCGAGCTCAACCCTAGTTTTTTATGTCTAGGAAATACTTTAATCTCCTCATATCCCTAGTTTCGTATGTCTGTGAAATACTTTAATTTCCTCATATAGTTTTTTATTTCTTTGAAATACTTTAACTTCCTTATATATTTTGTGAGTGTGAAACTATGATGTGAGGGATCTGATTTTTCAAATTATATTTGTGGAAAATAAAGTGCTTAATTTAATGTCAATCCCTAAAATGGGAGCAATGGAGAACACCGCCAACAAAAGATGAAAATAATACAACAAACTTTATTAGGTGAAAATCCTAAAATCGAGAAGAAAAATAACACATTTTTATATTTGACATGATCAACCACCCAAGCTAGTTTCTGAAAATGTTATAATCAAACGGCATTTTACAATCTTCATTTGTAAACAGATTGATTACGGAAGATTTTGCTAACATAGAAACTAACCATATATAAGAAACACCATATAGAGATCAGTAACTGCTAACAGAGATCAGTAACTGGTAACAGAGAAAGAGCATGGACATGGAGGTTCTGCCACCTCAATTCCTCCTTCAAGCATTTGGATGACCTTCCTCATGGTTGGCCTCAAGGATGAGTTCTCTTGTACACACCACAGGCCAACCATCACAAAAGTTGCAAGTTTCTTGTAGTCATCCAATGCCTCCAGATCGTTGTCAACAAATGTATCCAGTCGACCTTCTTCATAGCAATCCCATGCAAGATCAGTTAAAACCGCCACCCCTTTCTCATCACTCTCATAAACCAAGCTTTTTCGGCATGAAATGATCTCTAGCAGCAACACACCAAAGCTATACACATCAACCTTCACTGTGACAGGCGTGTGCCTAAACCATTCAGGAGCAACATATCCTTTCGTTCCTCTAATTCCAGTGTTTGTTTGACTTTGATTCATCATCAAAAGCTTTGCCAATCCAAAGTCAGAAATTTTGGCATTGTAGTAGTCATCAAGAAGTATATTCTGAGGCTTTATGTCACAGTGAATGATTTGGATGCTACACTCTTCATGAAGGTATGCGAGTCCCTTAGCAATCCCAACAGCAATATAACTCCTCTGTCTCCATGTAGGTCTTGCATCCCCGAAAATAAACATCGCCAAAGTGCCATTGCTCATGTACTCATAAACCAATAACCGCTGATCACCTTCATCACAATACCCAAGAAGCTGCACCAAATTTTTATGATGAGTTTTTGCAATGCTGTCAACCTCGGCTTTGAATTCCTTTTCACCATCTCGAACCACTGTATTCAACTTCTTCACGGCCACTGTCCTTTTTCCTATCACACCTTTATAGACTGTCCCAAAAGCCCCTTTCCCCAATTCGTCTTTGAATCCATCTGTAGCTTCAACTAGCTCGTGATATGTAAACCGAGGCAGATTGGTTTCAGCATCTTGACTAATTGAATATGTGTTTCTCGGCTTCTTCTTGTAGATTACAAAGAAACCCATACCAATCAACACAAAGATTACAAACACAGAAGTGGCTAAGAGAACCGATCCGACAACTATCAGACTTCTTCGATCTTTTTTTTCTCCAGGGAGCCGAAAAGGGTTTTGACGAGGAGGGCTTTGAAGCGGAATATCACCAATCCGGTATTTCACGAACGGCTTCACACCTGGAGTCATTCTCCCATTAGAGAGTGGAAACCTCTTCTTCCAACATTGGTTGTTGCTGTATGTTGCGACAGCACAGAAACAATCTTCCAAGCAGGAACTTTTGCAGGTGTCTTCATTACTTGGGTCCATGTGCTCATAGTCTGATTCTGGCCAATCAATATTATCGAGCTCGATGAAATCAATATTATTGGACTCAACTTGATCACATTTTGGAGTGAAATCAGGCTTGCAATCACCACTGGGATTATTTGGATCAAGCAATGAGAACCCCTGTGGGCATTCACATTTTCTGCGGTTACCATCAAGGCTGCAAACATTGTTATACCCACAAGCACCGCTATCCATCCTCATACTGATATTACATATGTTTTCTGGCATAGACAATATTACTTCCCAGCTTGTATTGCCAGTTGCATTCTTGGGGTGGTAGTATTGACGAAAAACCCCATCATAATCTAGAGTAGCTCTATGATAATAATCTCCAGAAGGAACTGTGTCTCTTTGAGAAAGACCAAATCTTTCTCCACTTCTTTTCAGTATATAAATGTATCCCATTGCATCATAAATCACTTTTTCACCGATATTTGTGGAATTGGTCGCATCAGCTGTGCCACTGGAATCATAAGCACCATAAGCATTACCTGAAAGTATATCTCGACTGCTAAGAACAAGATTTCCATCTTGTTGGAAACGTAACTGGAAGCGTCCACCAGAGAAGTTTGTTGCACTAATTGTTGAATTCATCCCTCCACCTATCTCCATAACCTGAGTAGGCAACAAGGTGTTTGATGGAAAATCAAAACTACCCCATAACTTGCGAGAATTGCTACCAAAAACCACGAAGTTACCTGTATCATTCATAAAACCTGATGAACAGCGGAAATAGACCCAGATCTCCATACCTCTGTGCCCTGAGGATCACTGAGTACGAGCCCACTCCCACCAGTTAACTCAACTTTGGATCCTGTAGGCACCATAAGACCTTCTTTGGGATACCAGATGATCGTCTTGTCAGGTATCTTGTCATACCATATGGATAACAAAAAATTATCGATCCCTTGAACTTGTTGGAACCCAAAGGCAAATTCACCGGAAGATGAAAGCCATGGTGTGACATTGGGCGCAGCAGTGAGTAATGCACCAAGAGATACAGAACCGTCATTATGTTGCGCAGTTATCAAACGTAGGAAAATAGTTAGAAAGACTAGATGCAATTGGGCTGGAGCCATATGAAATTGGTGGAATGGATAACAGTGACGAAATGAGGATTTAATGAATAGTAAGATCGTTGCTTTAAGGTTAACAGAAAGATTTTTTGAGTCTACAAATAATGCAACAAGTCTCTAGCTTGTGGGCAGAAAATAAAGATTGGTCTTTATGGTTCCTTTCCTTGTAATGACAATTGTAGACCATTTCTTTTTATTTTTCTTTGGTGTCGTGTCAATCAACGGAAACCCACATACACGGCAGGAGAAATAGAATCATCCAACTGGATAATTCCAATCGAAGAAGAATTGATTCTCTGCCACTTTTATTATATATATATATATATATATATATATATATATATATATATATATATATATATATATATTGGTATTTCATGCATGGGTGACTTTTTTTTGTTTTTTTAATAACTTTGTACAAATTTATGAGATCAGTAGTCACATTTCACTCGATATAACTGTATTTGTAGTTGGTTTTTAATTAAATGCTTTTAATATTATTTTAGAATTTTTTTTGTTTTAAATTAGCAAAAGTTTATTTTTAAAGAAAAAAAAAATGTTATTTTATGTTTTATTTTATATTTTCTAATTTAATTAAATAAAAAATAGTGATGTGACAAGTGGATTGAGTGGGTTGGAAAATATAAAATTTTTATGTGTTGTGGATTGAGAAAGATCGAAGAAAGAGAAAAGAACCAAATGGCTTCTAACCCAGCGGTATCCAATGTTGTCTTCCCTCCTTGAGGTCGAGGGTTCAAATACTGCTGTGGACATAAGTGGAATAATTAAGAAGTAGTTTAGTATATTTGTCGTTTCAAAAAAAAAAAAAAAAGAGAGAGAGAGAAAGAGAAAAACTGAGTTAATTAAGTAGATTGGGAAGGAAAAACTCTCTATTCCTCAACAAAGGGAATATTGGCAGATAAAACCTGATGAACAGCGGAAATAGACCCAGATCTCCATACCTCTGTGCCCTGAGGATCACTGAGTACGAGCCCACTCCCACCAGTTAACTCAACTTTGGATCCTGTAGGCACCATAAGACCTTCTTTGGGATACCAGATGATCGTCTTGTCAGGTATCTTGTCATACCATATGGATAACAAAAAATTATCGATCCCTTGAACTTGTTGGAACCCAAAGGCAAATTCACCGGAAGATGAAAGCCATGGTGTGACATTGGGCGCAGCAGTGAGTAATGCACCAAGAGATACAGAACCGTCATTATGTTGCGCAGTTATCAAACGTAGGAAAATAGTTAGAAAGACTAGATGCAATTGGGCTGGAGCCATATGAAATTGGTGGAATGGATAACAGTGACGAAATGAGGATTTAATGAATAGTAAGATCGTTGCTTTAAGGTTAACAGAAAGATTTTTTGAGTCTACAAATAATGCAACAAGTCTCTAGCTTGTGGGCAGAAAATAAAGATTGGTCTTTATGGTTCCTTTCCTTGTAATGACAATTGTAGACCATTTCCTTTTATTTTTCTTTGGTGTCGTGTCAATCAACGGAAACCCACATACACGGCAGGAGAAATAGAATCATCCAACTGGATAATTCCAATCGAAGAAGAATTGATTCCCTGCCACTTTTATTATATATATATATATATTATATATATATATATATATATATATATATATATATATATATATATATATTGGTATTTCATGCATGGGTGACTTTTTTTTGTTTTTTTAATAACTTTGTACAAATTTATGAGATCAGTAGTCACATTTCACTCGATATAACTGTATTTGTAGTTGGTTTTTAATTAAATGCTTTTAATATTATTTTAGAATTTTTTTTGTTTTAAATTAGCAAAAGTTTATTTTTAAAGAAAAAAAAATGTTATTTTATGTTTTATTTTATATTTTCTAATTTAATTAAATAAAAAATAGTGATGTGACAAGTGGATTGAGTGGGTTGGAAAATATAAAATTTTTATGTGTTGTGGATTGAGAAAGATCGAAGAAAGAGAAAAGAACCAAATGGCTTCTAACCCAGCGGTATCCAATGTTGTCTTCCCTCCTTGAGGTCGAGGGTTCAAATACTGCTGTGGACATAAGTGGAATAATTAAGAAGTAGTTTAGTATATTTGTCGTTTCAAAAAAAAAAAAAAAAGAGAGAGAGAGAAAGAGAAAAACTGAGTTAATTAAGTAGATTGGGAAGGAAAAACTCTCTATTCCTCAACAAAGGGAATATTGGCATATGCACATTACATTATTCCTTAATTTTTGTACTAATTTTTATAATTGTATTCAGGTATGGAAAATTTATAGAAATGGTCCACGTCTAAATAAAAAATTATAAAATGATCCTTAAGTATGACACAATTACGGAATGGTCCATATCTTAAAATTTATGTATGGTCCTTCAGTTTGACAAAGTTATAGAAATGATTTATCTGTAAGATAAAAATACATAAATGATCCATGTCTAATAGAAAACTATATGAATAGTCCTTATATGAAATAGAATTATGATAATGATCTATGGGTAAAATAAAGTTATAGAATTGGTTTTGTTTAATAGAAAAATTATAGAAATAGTCTATTTATAATAGTGATATTAAATAAATGGTCCTTGTCTATGAAAACATTATAGTAATCCTACCGGTTTAATAGCAAAATTATAGAACTAGTCATTGTATAAGAGAAAGTTACAGAAATTGTGTCAAAAATATAAAACTAATAAACGTGACAAAACATGTAGGACATCCCCACTAGCCACTAGTTATTCAAATATAAGAGGTTCTACATGATAATCATCCGCCAAATTTGTTAGTGTTTTTTAAGTTTGTATAAAACAATAGTTATGTGTTTTCTTTTACATTATTTAGTTTACTTGTCCATACAATCTTGAAAATATCATAACTCCACTAGTTCTCATGTATGAAATTTTGAAAATAAAAAATATCATGAACTTGGAAAATTATGATCAAATAGAACATTTCCCTAAATAAAACTCATATTTTGTGAAATACTTGATTAGTTGTCATATTGGTGAAGGTTTTTGAAATATGTGTTTCAACTTTGTTGTAATTTTTCTTGAACAAACATTTATTTTGGGAATTTTTTTAATTAGTGTCATGAGCACTTCCCCTGGGCACCTTTATATTTGTTTCGCTAAGGACCAAGTCTTCCACTATCATACAAAGTACATAGATGTATGTTGGAATAATGGCATTCCATTCGGTTTAATATGAAGGAGAAAATGAACAATATTGTGATGCATGATAACGTGCTAGACATGATGACAAATTAAGTCGTTCCTAGAAAACAAATTTATGTATTGCTTGAATTACAGCCACCTCAAGAGTTGGATATACGAGAAGATTTGTATGTAGTTCAAGATAGAGATTACTTGTGTATGTGACCTAGATATAAGTCTATGAACTTAAAATGTATATATCAAAACATCCCTCGTTGAGCCAATATCGAAATAGAAATATTCACCATATTTAAAATAAAGTATCACCACTTAACCACTCTAAATCCCATAATTGATCAAAAACATTTACTCACCTATGTCAAAAAAAAATTTAAGGAATTATCATTCAGTATTATAGAACGGTCTATACAGTAATATTCTAACTATTTCCATGTGAAAAGTCTTATTCCCCAAGCTTCTCAAATTTCCTTGTCACCTTAGAATGATTTCTTCAATATTTACCTTGAATACATCTTAAAGTAGTATGCTAGGTTTGAAAGTTAAATAAATTACATATAGGTTAGACTTAACATAGGTATTATATTAAATTGGTTCAATATTGCCATATCACTATATTCAAATCACCATATATAAGATACTATAATTCTAAAAGTACCCCAAATAAGAATTTAGATATAATATTTTAAGAGAAATTAAATATCCGCCTATGTTTTATTCCAATCCATCCATCTACATATACCTATGTAAAATGATGACATGTGTCATATTTAATGAAAATAATAATATTTTAATATATTTGTCATCATTTAACATTGATATGAGGATGAGTTGTAACAAAATATAGGAAAATTTTAAATTTCTCAATATTTAAAGACAACATACATGATAAATGAAATTTGATACATATTCACCCCAAATATCAAATCTTAATCCACATTTGATATCATTATTACCAATTTCCTTCTAAGTATTATCACCACAAATCATATAAAAAAATGAAAAATTATTTAACCTCTAGTAACATGTATATTGTTTTAGTGCTTGCATGGACAAAATAATGTCACCATACGTAAAAGATATCTTGAACACTTATATTAATCACCTCAACTGACTTTATCTCCTCATACTTCAATAGAATTTAACTTCTCTTAAGTGTCTAGATCACATAGTACATTTATCCCATATCCCACATCAATGAAATGTAACATGTACATGATCTGTGGGACATCTGAAATTAAATCATCTCTTGAGTACTAGTACCGATGTATAAAAATGAGTTCAAAACTTAATGTTTAAAATCTCGTTTTAACTTTATAAAATCGATTTCACCATTACTGGAAACTACTACACAATTGGAAACAAAATACTCCAAGCTATTTGACTCAACTCAACTACACCTTAAAATTATGGTTGACTACTAAAAGTGCAATTGATATTAGTTATGAAACATCCCAAAAATCATGAAAAAATTTTCATTTTTAAAACCATTTAATAACTCATAAGTCTTACAAAAAATTGTTTCCAAAAATCATAAACATAAATCAGAGTATCCCAAAATCATCTATCAATAAAATATCCAAGGATGATGTGTACGATCACGCCTTTGTCTTGCCCCGATCATTTGATGTACCTGAAACCATGAAACCAAACTGTAAGCCAAAGCTTAGTGAGTTCCCCCAAAATACCATATGTATTAAGACAAATAAAGCATGTAATGGGTCTAATCAGTCATCGAACTGGAATGCCAAAATGCAACGTGTCCAATTAGTTATCGGACTTGAATACCCTGACCCAATCTATAATATCCCGTTTCTTATCATTTCTTATTTCAAGGGCGTGGGCCAAAAGTTGATTGTGTAAAAGCTTTGGGCCTTAAGGAGGTAAATATTAGACCTTGTGGAAGGAGGTAACTATCGTTGAGAGATCTAACCCTTGAATTGTGTTTTGGGTCGAAGGGTAAAAAGGGAAAAGTCATAGGCCGAGTTCTTGCATGAAATATGGATTTTTGTTCGAGATGTTTTTAGTCCAAGATATTTAGATAATATTGTAGAGCTCTTTAACAGCTTTCCATGGATATAAAGAATGTTGAAAATGGAGTTGGAACGATGAAGATACGACCGTTTGAAGTTATGACGATTTTTGGGTTAGCCGCGTACGCTGGGCGTACGGACAATATGTTGGGCATACTAGGGCATCGCTAGTACGTTGGGCATACCAGGAGTACGTTGGGCGTACCAGGAATATGTTCGGCATACACGACCAGAGCCTAAACCTTATTTTCGTGGTTTAAGCCATATTTAAGCTCCTAAACTTCCCCAAACCCACTCCATTCTCAGCCTCCAACCCTCCAACACCCTCTCTTGAAACCCTAACGCTAGTTTGAGCCTTGTAAGAAAAAAGAAGGTGTTTTTAAGTGATTCAGAGTGTTCTTGGTGCACCTTGGAGAAGAAGGAACTCATTGAAGAAACGTTGGTTCCATTGGAGCTGGTAGATCCATACCTTGTTCACCATGATCTTTCTTTTGGAGGTATAATCTTGATGATGAAATTGTTAGATCTAGCTAGTTTTGGGTGTTATGAGCTTTTTCTCACTTTAAGTGCATAAAGTTTAGATCTTGGAAGTTTGTGACCTTGTTATGGATAAAGTTGAAAAGTTTATACATCTAAACATCATATTGATTCAGAACTGAAGGTTGGAGACTTGGACTTAATGGATTAAGTTGAAAAAGATGCAATTTTTGGTCCCTTTATGACTTAAAGACTGGATCTTGTTTGTTGGGACCATTCTAATGGATAAAGTTGGAAACTTTATCCATTATGGAGCTATTAGGAACCATAAAAATATGATCTTGGTCCTTCTATCCCTTCCATGCAAGAGTTATGATGTATTAATGGATTAATAAGTTAGGATTTTAGCTTTTGGACCTTCCTTAGCCATGGAAAGTCATAAAGGTGGAAACTTTATGACTTAACACAATGTTTTGAGGCTAGATCTGAGTTTGGGTGAAAAGTCCTTAAGGGATTAACTGCTTAATGGAAAGGACGGAACCAACTCGAGTACGATGGGCGTAACTTTCCTATGTTGGGCGTACTAAGCCATCCCATGTATACGGGGC